CACTTTCATGATTAAAAACACCTGTAGAAGGCTGGCCCCGTGGCTCACTCGGGAGAGTGCGACGCTGGGAGCACCGAGGCCGCGGGTTCAGATCCTATACAAGGATGGCCGGTGCACTCACTGGCTGAGCATGGTGCGGACCACACCGTGCTGAGGGTTGCAATCCCCTTACTGGTCAGAAGAAGAAAAAAAAAAAACTACCTGTAGAGATTATTTTATAAACAAACAAAAAACCCAGAAACATTTACCTTAATCAAATTATATTATTTCCTTAAGATAATTACCCTAAAACTACTTCCAACTAAAGGTTATCTCTTCACTAATTCAAATATTACACAATAAATTATCTCAAAAAGTTCATTTTTAAAAATTTCTGCTTTGTGACATGGTGAGAACAACTGACAAGAATGAAGAAGTCCTGTTTCACCCATTAGTTTGTAATAAGCTCTTGTAAAAAAATCACTTCACTTCTCTGAGCTTTCTCATCTATATACAAAGAGTTTACATGAGATAATCCTTCAAGTTATTTCTAGTTCTAGACCCTTAAACATCCAAATTAATATTCCAGCAATGTATAAAGATACACAAAATTTCATATATATTATTTATAAATATACCTATATAAGCATATATACTCAAGTTGGCATATTCACTAGCATTATAGTTTACATATATAATTTCTTCTAAATATACCTATATCACTATAAAGCTGAAGCTAAAGACTGATACATCTAAAATTCTGAAATGAGTAAAATAAATAGATTAATCCCCATCAGACTGAAACATCAATCTTAGTCATAAAAGGAACAGAGAAAAAGAAAATTAAAATCAGCCTTAAAGTGTTCACTAGAATGGATAGATGATTGAACAGATGAATGAATGGATGCATAGATGTGTAAACAGGAAAGGAAGGATATGAAAGGGATGGATAAAAAGGCAAGAACTGGATCTTCATGTGTCCCTATAACTTTATAAAACCAGGATCAGGGAGGTGACCGTCTTAAATCTTCTTAGTATTATATCATGATCTTCATTCTATTTACCTCCAGATAGTTTGTAGATGAATAAGAATAGTATCTTTGCTTTAGTCAAGATTTTATATCTTTGATTCCTTATTGGTAATATGTCTCAAATGAGATAAAATATTGTGCATTTGTAAGTTACAAAACACTGTATCCAAATGTAAGCTACGATTCCAGGAAGAAAAATTTCCTCTAAATCTCAATTTTCTTTTATTCAGAATAAAATCAAATCACCTTACCTGATATTGATACCTTGTTTGTATATTTTACATGCATCAGAAGGCAGAATTCGGGAAAGTAAAGGCACTGTATTTTTAAAAACAAAAGGTAAAAAAATAACTACCTAAATTCTGAGACATTTACAAACTGTTAAATTAAAAAAA